TCAATCGGTGCCGCTCCGGAGGCTTCCTGCGGCGGCGCGCCCGTCGCAGCCGTCGACTCGTCGACCTCCATCACGCTCGAATCGGCGAGCAGCGCCGGGACGGCCGCCGCCTGGCGGATCTCGTTGGCCTGCGCGCTGACCGTCTCGAGGTGCGTGTGGAGGATCTGGTTCTGCGTGTGCAGGTCGTCGATCCTCCGCTGCAGGTCGCCCTTTTCCTTCTCGAGCCCCTGCCGCACGCCCTCCCATCCGGCCTTTTCCCTTCCCCACTCGGCCTCGGCGCGGTCCTTCTGGCTCCTCAGCGTGCTGACCTCCTGCCTCGCCCGCTGCAGCTGTTCCTTGGCATCGTTGCCTTCGGCGACCAGCGCCTCCATTCGCTTCTCGACCTCGGCCAGTCGCGCCTCGGCGTCCTTGGCGGCTTTGATGTGCTTGCGGATCTCGCCGCGGACGTCCTCCTGCTCCGCCTTGGCCCTTTCCTCGACGGACCCGAGCTCGGCGATGGCGTCCTCGAGCGACTTTCGGTCGGCGACAAACTCGGCTCGCTGCTGCTCGAGCCGATCCTGGAGCGACTTGGACTCGCCCTGCGCGCTGGCCAGGTCGACGCTGAGCGTCTGCACCTGCGTCTGGAGCGCGGCGATCTCGGCACTGCGGCCGGCGGCGGCAGACTCGCAGGCGTTGACGTGCTCGTCGTGCGACTTCCTCAGCGCCTCGAGCTGCGCCTCCTTTTCGGCGAGCACCTGCTCCGACTGCTCGACGCGGAGGCGGGCCTGCTGGCACTCGACCTGGGCGGCGGCGCGGCCGGCCTTGAGGTCGGCCAGCTCGATCTCGAGCTGCTCCTCCCTCGACAGCTGGATCTCGGGCTGCGCCTGGAAGCTGACCGGGTCGCGGGCCAGCTGCTCGCGCCTTTCGTAGATCTGCAGCTTCTCCTTGGTGATCTCGAGTTGCTTGTTGAGGTCCTCGACGCGCAGCTGGGTCTGGTCGGCGCTGGTGCGGGCGACGGCGAGCGCCTCGCGCGCGTTGCTCAGCTCGACGCCGGCGAGGTCGATGCGGGCGTGGAGGTCCTTGGTCTCGACCTCGCGTCGCAGGCTGAGCTGGCGGTACATTTCCATCTCGTCGTTGAGCTTGGCCTTGAGGTCCTCGTTGGCGTCCTGCAGCCGCTTGACGTCCTGCTCGAGCCTGGCCCGCACGTCGCTGCCGCGCGACTCGAGCTCGGCCTGCATCGCCTGGGTGCTGCGGATGAGCTCCTGCAGGCCGGTGCGCTCGGACTGCATCGCGCGGTTCTCGTCGAGCAGCCTCGCCTCGGTCGACTTCCAGAGGTCGCGCTCGGCCTGCAGCGTGGCCGCCTGGGTCCGCAGCCGCTCGACCGCCGTCCGGGCCTCGATGGCCTGCTCCTCGGCCGCGCGGGTGGCGAGGTCCTTGCGCGTCAGCGACTCGTGGAGCGTCTGGATGCGCTTCGACGCCTCGGCCAGGTCGGTCCTCTGCAGCTACAAACGCGCGCTGCAGCGTCGCGTACCGCC